TATAACATTGAACATGGATTTGAACATTTCTGTACTTATGGTCACTTCTTGGTTTTCGATCGCATTTTTAAAAGGTTTGTTATCAGATTTCAAAATCTTTAAACATTGAAATGGAATACCTGGTATTTCAAGTGTTTAGTTTGTCCTCGAAAATATATTTTTGAACTTGCTATCTGCTAAAAAAAAAAGTCATGTGTGTACATGTATTTCGACTTTAAAATAATGTCATACATGTACATATTTCGATTTTTGAAAATGTCATTCAAAAGAAAAAACATTTTTAGACATGCCTTGATCTATACCATAAAATCTTATAAAAATGATTATCAGAATTCTAGTAACAAAATTTGTCAGTGGATCTGAATGCACTAATTTATGAGGGTTTTTCCTTTTCTGGAAAATTATTGGAATTTGTTTTGTTTTGTTAATTTAGGATTTGTTTTGTCATTTTACAGTAAAAGTACAGGGAAAATATTTCATAGCAAAAAACTAACATTTTTCCCCAAGAAAGTCCTAAGGTTCATGAAAATAAGATATTTACCAAGATATATTAAGAACAAGGATTCAATTCCATACCATGTTCATGAATACTTACTGAACATAGTTGTTTTTCAATGAAATAATTGTTTGTTTCTCTTCACAGAATGTGGTGCAGTAATCAAGTATTCTTATTATCGTTCCTACTACTCGTATTCCTACTATTCAAGATACTACAACAACAGGTAACGTGTTCTTCATATTAAAGATTTTTATAGAAATTGTAAGGAAGCCCAGGTGCGTCAAGTAAATTATCGGAAAGGAACAAATATCTCCAAAACGAAAAGCAAACTGTAGATTTAAAACAAATTATGAAGGAAAAGAGAGAAAAAAATTGAGAATTTAAAACGTTTTAAAATTGAAAAAAAAAAAATTAAACTACTAGCAACCTACTATTTAAAAAATTACAGGAGGAAAATCATCACGTTCAAATCTACATACCAGTATAAACAAAAAGAATCTTTGCTTGAGAGTTTTGAGTCAGTTTATCTATGAGAAAAAATCCATTTTGATTATAGAAAATTAATACATTAAAAGAACCACTTTAGATTTTAGATAATCAAATATACCTGTAAAAGTAAAACAAGATACCAAGGAAAAATGATAAGTAAAATGATACGCTGTAACAAGTTGTCTTTCAAGTAAAAAAAGTTGTTGAAATAGGAGATAATTTCTATTTTCAAAGCCATATAATGCAAAATACTTTTTTTAATTTCTATACACTTGTAAATCTCCAAAGTGCCAATTAAAATGAAATGTTAAGTTTATCATTTATCGCCACATATTTCATATAGTGAAATTTTTTTTTTTGAAGCATCAATATCAAATCGTCAATGTTATGTGTAAATAGTTGCGCCATAAATGTTTTTTACCACTTGAAAAAACAAAACAACAATTAGTGTGCTATCCTTTAAAATATTTTAATTCCAACAAGTTTTAATATATTGCCCCAAATGGGATTTCCATGCAGAAAAAACGTAATACGACCTACATTTTGAACCTTTTGATTGGCCAGCGACTACTCGAGATTTCATTTACAAGTGAAAGAATTGTCAATAAAAGTTAAAGACTATGGTTATAACATTGGTATATTAAATGAAGAGTACTTTTCGGTCTTATTTGAGCTTGGGGAATCTCAGTGATTGAAACTGTCCATTTGTATTAACTTGTCTTTCACAATAAAGGCCATAAGTATCATGCATCCGCTTTTCAGTATGTGCTTTACAAAGACATGCACATTTTATTAAATTGGGCTTCCGGATCCGCACGATCCTAGCAATGATGAAATTTCATTTGGATATTTTATCCTTATATACAACAAGTTTGGCTTTCCAGAAAGCCTGAAATGTCATCTCTTTGACTTCATTAATGTCACAGAATAAACAGTGGAATGTAACATTTTTTCCTCAGCTATAACAGACAGAAGAACTTCTTTTCAAAAAAGGGGGGACGGGGCAAGGTATAAACAGTGGAATGTAACATTTTTTCCTCAGTTATTACAAGCAGAAAAACTTCTTTCAAAAAAGGGGGCAGTCAGAAAAAAAAATTACAACTTACCTGAATAATCTTTCACTAGGAAAGAAAAGGGGGTGTTCAAACTCGAAATGCTTATTTCGTGGATGGGGAGGGAAGATTTAAACTTTTTGACTTTCTCGAAAAACACATTGGGGGGGGGGGGGGGTATGAATATGCTGCAACAAAAAGATGTGGGGAAGGGAGAGGCAAGCTGCCTTTCAATGAACATTTGCAACAGTAATTTCAAATATATTTTGTATATGTGTTTAAAAAATGTAACCACTATAAGCAGTATTCGTAAAATTTGTAAACAATTGTTATAAAAGAGGATGGATAAAACCTTAGCGTTCCTATTGACTTTACATCACAGCAGCTTACTCGGACATCAACCAAGAAGTTTAAAGCGCTAACTTGAATTAGTCCGGTGTCATATAGTGAGACTTTCCCCCGGGAATCTGGTTATACCTTGATTGGTGAATAAACTTATATAAATTTTCGGGGGGGGGGGGGGGAGAGAATTACTATATAGTGAGCCATCCCCCCTAAGCGACCATAGTGAGGCGTCCCCCTTCCATATTCAGTAGTATTTTATTCACATCGACGATGTATATATATTTGCATTATGATAATGATCTTATAAAATAGATACATGTATGAATAAATATAGAAGTGCGCATTAAAATTTATCGTGCACAGTAAATTATTGAATTGTTCCAAAATGATTCTTATCAAAAGAAATACATTTAAAATTTAAGAGATCATTACTCGTGGACTCTTGGATTTTGCTTATGTTCATGGAGAATGCAATAAATACAATATAGTAAAGAAAGATGTATACTTGTAACAATAACGTACATTTTTTCATTCAGTTATCTCACATCAATATACATGTACATGTCATCCCAAAATTATTTTTGGCTGACAAACTGTTAAAAGGCTATTAAGATGTTTTAATTATTAATTAACGGAAAACTTTTATTCATATACTGAAAAATATTGTTTTACAATGAAATAAAATATTCCGGAAATTACATTTGAGGGGAAGTCTCACTATGAAAGGGGGAGACACTGGCTATATAGTGAGACCTCCCCGGGAGGTCTCACTCTATTGCCAGTCGATCTTCCGTGGGAAGTCTCACTATATAGCCAGTCTTCCGGGGGAAGTCTCACTATGGGGAAGTCTCACTATACGACACTGACCCTCAATTGATTTCGAAAGATTTTCCACTTTTAAATATATGGTTTTTCCAAAGAAATAACCCTCACATGCATTTAAATATTGGTCAGTAATAAAATTTAAACGTTATAAGCTAAAATTAGGCATTTACAAATTATCTGAAAGAGAACCAATTTACTAATCCTGATATTTAGGCTGTTCAAGGAAACAATCATTTTATGAAAAAATATTTCAAGAATAAGAGAAGTGATTTGATAGCTTTTTTGCCATTAACCAATACTGCAATTTAAAATTACACAAAGAAAATGATTGCAGGTGCTTTAATTATAAATTCTCAAAATACGAGTCGCGTCTATTATACAGAGGTAACAATATTGTTTTTCTGACATTTATTTTTTATAGAACAAAAAACAAAGAATAGTGCAGACACCCAGATAGCATGACTACGTTGGGCCTACGTTTGGCCTACGTTGGTTTTTGGTTGTATGGTTGGTAGAGTGTTGGCGTTGGGGAACAAATGTAGGCCCAATGTTGGTCCAACGTTGATCTACGTCGGCATGAAAGCTAAACCAACGGTGTTGGGTATGCGATGTTGGTCCAATGTTGGCCCAATGTAGTAACATGTTGACAAGAAACATGGCGACTATGTGTTGGACATTAAAATGTTGGCCCAACATAGGTCCAACCGAGTAAATGTTGGCATGGATCAAGACCATTGTATGTTGGGTATGAAATGTTGGCCCAACGTAGGTCTAACCGAGTACATGTTGACACGAAACGTGGCCACTTAAGTGTTGGACATTCAATGTTGGTTCAACGTTGGTCCAGCTTAGTAAATGTTGATAATATTATGAGACATCGCTCTGTGTTGGGCTTGTAACACTGGGCTGGAGTTTGTCCAATAGTGGGAATATTGGGATTTCATGTACCGGTAGCCTGTAATGTTGGAGATGAAATGCTGGTCCAACGTTGGCCCAATATTGTGAAAAGTGTCATTTATCTGTCACAGAGCTATCCCCCAAGTTAATTAAATGTAAATAAATGAGAGAGTTAGAAGGTCTGATAAGGTTGCAGGTGCACGAAACAGGCGTTGTAGCCCTGTTTCCCATGGGTGTCATTTTAGCTAGTTAGAGAGAAAGAGAGTTGAGCAAGCATGAATTTATAATTTGTTAGTGTGTCAGTTCTGTTGTCGTTTGTTTATTATGTTTGATAGAGTTCTGAGAGATGAAAGTGAGCATTAGGTTGATTTGTGTGAGAAATTGGGGAGTAAGAGATTTGGTATGGGCATGCCCTGAGAATATGTGAGAAAAAGAGTGGAGAATGAGTTCGGAAGTCAATGAGAGTGGATGTATCTTATAATTGTGAACTTTGTGTATTACTATAATTATATTGCGTGTGTTGTAAATATGTAAATAAACTATGTAAATAAAAACAATCGTAATTATTAATCAGTGCCAGTGACAGGGAGGACCCCCGTCACATATAAATTTAGGTTTATTTATTGTAAATCGATGGTAATGTAATAAGCAACTCATTATAAACATTGATTCTATATTATATTAAATGGAAAATTATGAAACAAACTTTATAAGTCTGTGAATTACATAGAGTAAATGTTGTATCTAGGTAGATTCTATATTTAGCATCATTGAATTAATTTAAAGTGCTGTGTTTTAGAGCTCCAAATAAATAGGTCAGTGGTGAAATTCACTGGCTCGGCAGGTGACTCATCGGTCTCCAAGGAAACCAGCATCTTAATCAGTTTTTTTCCTCACAAACCGTCACGTACTGCACTTGAACAAAGCATATGTGTCTGTTAGTGAACGCAAGAATTTTAACCGTTGAAATGTAAGTATAATTAAGGTCTTCCGTTTCCAACGGAAGACCTTCTACTGATTCTTATGGTTAAGATTATTAAGGTCTTCCGTTTCCAACGGAAGACCTTCTACTGATTGTGACGATTAAGATTATTTTTATTATTCTTTTTTTTTTTTTCCTAGACGCCAACTTTGACGCTTCATATCTTCCTCATTTTTAAACAGATTTTGTTCAAATTTTCAGAGCTTTTAGACTTTACAAAACACTGTCAGAATACCGTAATACAATTCGGAAATTACCTTCTGTTCACGAGTTATTCCCCTTTGATTGAATTTTGCATGCCTCCGATTTCCAGACAAAGGTTCAGAAATGGTTATAATTGGAGCACAAAACCCTTTGAAATTGAAAAGAGGAAGCATTGAAGTTGTGCACATCGGTTTTTGTTTTTTGATTTTTGCATTTAAAATGGCGCTAGAGAGGGGTCAAAAGTTAGAACGCAGAAAACAGCAAAAAATTTGACATATTTTCCTTTATATCTTGAAAACTAGAAATATTTTGTTAAGACATGTAGAACAAAAGTTGTGCATAATTGCAAGGGCTTTCATATTATACTATTTAAAAGGGGCTGGCCCCTATGATTAGGGATCTTGGGCCCTTAAAAGTTTTTGCTTTATAACTCAAAAACGGTAAATATTTCGATCTGGATCTTGGGAACAAAATTGTTCTTTTACACCTTTTTGATCTAATGAAAATGTTGTTTTGTTCGAGTATACCATGGGTATTGCGTAATACGTATTAGAAAGCAGGCCAGGTAAACAGGTAACTTTTTCATTCGGCAAGGAAATCAGACCTCTTCATGTGTATAACTTAAACAGACTTGCTATCAATAATATACCCTGCGGTATTTAATGTTAATTTTCTTTTTAATAAGGTTTAAAACGTGGTTTATGGTTCACTATTAAATTATTTATTACAACTAGTCTTTCTTTTCTTCTTTTTTTAAGTTAGATTAATAGTGTTCAAAAGCGGAGAATATTAAATCTATCTTTCTACGTTTATTATTACAACAAACTTTGTAAGTGATTTTAAACTGTATGCATTGAATAATTCACGATCATTAGCTGTATGCATATTACGGTCTCCATGTTCAGCTCGATGTTTAGTTATGTAACCCAACGCGCGAATCCCACGCCTTTGATCGAGGTCACCAGTGTACTAGCCACCTGTGGCCATAAACAAAGCTAGTATTTGTGATCGCGTATGATGTCAATTTTGTACAAAGAGCTATTAATTAATGGAAAGTTATGTTTTTGATTATATCGAATCAGTAAGATTACTTTACCGATCTTTTATATCTTAATTCCAAACACTGGTGCATAAAAATCATTTTGAATTTTAATCGCTGTTTTTGTCTGTTCACGCAACAATACATTTAAAAAAAGTATTGCTCTATCCCGTGTTGTTGTATTTTAATTCATCTGCAATTGTAATTGAATGGGGGCTTCGGTAAATAATTGTAATTACTACGCATGCTACGCACATATTATTTTTACCATCACTCTTGTGAATGTCCATTTATTATTTATAGAATTAAATAAACATTAACATAAATAAGAATTCCTTCAAATATACATGTAGTATAATTCAAGTTTTTGTAATATAGCAAACAGTTTCATCCATCTCTGCCGCTTTGTGTCTTAAGTGTTGTAGTCCAGTCCTCGTTTACATACACGTGGCCACAGAGAGCCGCGGGCACCTCGATGTTGAACAAATTATTTTTTCTACTTAACTTGTTACTGTATGCGAACAATATGATAAACGTGTAATTATTTATAGGTTCCCATTATTTTTTCTGAAAATCAGAACACATTTATCAGCTCTCTTAAGGTTTTATGGACACATACAATGTACACGCATGCAAGCACAGAACATGTACGTTTTATAAGTGCATATGCAAGAGCGCCCCAAATATATGCATATCGAGAGTTTGAAATACAGAAAAATTCTAAATCCTGTATTTTTTTCATTATTTTTGCAATAAAATATCGACTACACTGAAATGATTTTATTGATTTACAGCATATTTTAAAGTGAATTATAGGTCCGCTGAGTTGATCATGAGTTGTTTTTATAACGGGTAGTCCTCCTGGCCAGTCATCGTCACGGTTTGTAACATCGTAATTACACAGGTAAATGCTAAGATGTCAATCCATATATGTTCCATAAGAAATAAATTACCGGGAGATGTCTCGTTTTCTCTGATCATATATTAATTGACAGCGTTTATGAACAGCTGTTAAAACACATGCCTTTGTAAACCGGTAAATCACAAAAAAGAAAAATCCGAGACATAAAAAACAGAAAATATTAATGTCTCTGGAAATAACATTGCCTTTAGATAACTAAAATAAATTAATGTCCGCCGATTTTTGAATTAATCCGAACGTTCATTGATGTGTATCGGTATAGTGTACCTGTACAGGCAGTGTGTATATTTTTATGAAGCCTTCGTCCAAACGAACAATATAATAAATCTTAAATGAATTAACTAACCCCTTCAGTACACACACATTCGCCTATACCTGAGATCTAATCAAAATCAGATCTTTTATACGGCCCGGAATTCTGATAGTCGCTGTATTTCTAATCTGATTGACTATACACGTGCCTTTAACAAATATTCTTTAATTTTCTTCGGGACCCCTGCATCACTAGTCAGGTGCTGTACCGACTGAGCTACCCAGGCCGATATCCACGACCCAAACCATTACAGTTTAAATAATAAATAATTAATAAAACTTTTATTAACTAATATCTTCATTTTTTTTTTAAATAAATTTTTAACTTAATTATAAGAAATCAATGCAGGTGCTCCACGTGTCAATTATTGTGATAGAGGTACTTACCACGTGACCTGATCATAATGCATTCATATTGGTCAACTCTGTGATGCATGTGTGTATTTATCAAACCTTTCAAACTCTTTCCTCTTGACACCATCTTTAAGTGTATTAAAAAGTCAACCGACTTCCTGTCAATTTTGAATATCGCCACCGCACGTGTATTTTGAACTTTGATTACCAATTTCATTATTTTCATCAATAATAAATATCCTTTTAGCCTGTCATTTTCGGAATTTTAAAAACTAAACTTCACACAAAAAATCACGGACTTCTTGTTAAGTTATAATGCAAACAAACGACTGAAACATCTTGAACACAAGAAGGGTTGGTGAGGTGCATAACTACATGTATAAAATAAAAAAAAAAAACAGCAAAGGCGGATCTAGGGCCGGCGCGCCGGGCGCACGCCCCCCCCCTTCCGTTCCGTTTACGAATTTTTTGTATGTAGAACTTATATGTCCATTATCCTTAAATCAAGGAAAAAACATCTCTTATTTGTAAGAATTTGTCAACTTCTGGGGGCTTCGCCCCTGGATCCCCACCAGGGCTTTGTTATAGACCCTCTGGGGGCTTCATTGCAGCCCCCCCCCGACCCCTCCCCTGCCTTCTACTTTGCCCCCCCCCCGTTATGAAATTCCTGGATCTGCCACTGCAAGGGGCGTAATAAGCAAGAATAATATAACTTTGAAGGGATGTGATCATCGGTATTGGTACTTTTACCTATGATATATACACAAAGACCTCTAGATCTACACGACAGAAATAAAGCTTGAGCGGCAGCTCTGCTTTAAAACATGTATCTACTTTTCGGTGCAATCATAGAAAATTATAAGTATTTAGCAAATCCTTGCTACAAAGCACAAACACCATAATATTAAACTTGACATGTAACTAAAATTATTCCATCAATAATCCACGAACATACATTGAAAGGATTATAAATATCTGTAGAAATTAAAAAGCAATTTGGAATTTTTTTTTAAAAAAAAACTGTCGGCGAGTTTCTTATTGCTGCTATTGCGTTGAACATGCCATTTGATTGACAATCTCTCTATATATGTAATATAGAATTTTTTGTATTATTTTCATTCTTTATCTTAATAATTAAATATTACTGATTATTTCTATTTTTATCATTATTTTGTACTACACGTATGTGTTTGTGGTTTAAGTGCAAAGTTAGGCTGTAGATTATAACACTATAACATATGCCAGGACAGACATTTCTACATGTTACTTTTCAAGGACATAGCATCGTTTTTGAAAAGGGGGGGGGGGCATCCAGAGAAAAAAATTAACTTACCTGAAAAGACTTCACAAGCAAAACCAAAATAGGAAAATAGCCCAGAATCCTATTTCCTGGCAGAAAGGGGTGGGGACAACGGGACAATACTGCAACAAAAAGTGGGGGCCAACGGGACTTTCAATGAACATTACTAAAGTAAAAAATTAGGTCTGAAAAAAGGGGGAGGCTGATGCTACGTGCCTGCTCTTATAGCTCATGCTTTATTTGATCTGCAATATCATAAGTTTACTTGATTGAATATCTCGGAGTCTCTCTTATCCTTTCTACAGCCTTTTAGTTTGACCAACTATGCAAAATTTAGCCTTTTGAACAGTTGGCGTTAGGGCTTTCATACTTCACATCCGAAATTCTTTGTGACAAGACATTTTCTTTGGAATAAATATTTTTGACCTTGTGACGTTCACCTTGGAGTTTGACCCACTTTTTTAAAAATCTAACCTTGGCAATACCTTTTGAACGGTTGGGACTAGTGTTTTCACATTCACAGGTGTATTCCTTGTGAAAGCGCTGTTCATTGGATATCAACAATTTTTACTATTTGACCTTGGAGTTTGACGTACTTTAAAAAAAATTAAAAGTTTTGACTTTTCACCTTTGACCTTAGAGTTTGACCTACCTTTGAAACATTTTAATCTCATTCATAACTTTTCAACGGTTGATGTTAGGGTTTTCGTATTTTTACATGTGTGTTTCTTGTGACAAGACCCTCCCTTGAGTACCGACAGTTTTGACTTTTGTCCTTGATCTTGGGGTTTGACCTACATTTGAAAAAAAAACCTTGACCTTTGTCATAACTTTTGAATAATTAACGCTAGGGCTTT